CTGCAGATAGTTCTTGAATCTGAAGCACCTGTTTCACATTTCTCTATCTTGCAGATATACTGTTTCACTCTCTAGAAAGACCTGTCTCATATCTGACCCGTAAAAAAAAAGCCAAGTCTTGTACAAGAGGAGTCTCATATACCCACTCCCCCGTCACACTTCTAAGTTAGGCTCTATCTGAATTTCTCTCAGATGAAAAGCATAGTCAGTATGTCTAGCTTTGGCTATGCAGATGGGAAATAAAGGCTGGATGTTGTGTTGAGGGACGTGGTTTAGTGGGAGCTACTGGGAATAGGTGAACGGTTGGACTGGATGATCTTGAAGGTCTTTTCCAACCTTGGTGATTCTATGATTCTATGATTCTATGAAAGTAAGCTATTTACAACACAAATAAGAACTATATCAAGTTTATAATTGAATATAAAGCAGACAGCTAGTCCTTTGGTTAGGAGAACTGTCCCATTGAAAGCTGATCTAATTGCCAAATAAAGCTATTGGGTGTTAAAGCACAGAGGTGTTAAGTATTTACACGACAGTTGAGAGAGAAGGCCACACAAACTCACACATGAAACCTCAGTGGGAGAAAGGGACCAGGTGGGTCATTTCCTGATCATCTGTAAACTCTCAAAAAATTATTTTCTGTCTCTAAGGGACCTCTCTCTGGGTTTTGAAGTAGCTTTATATGGATTTGGCCTTTCAACTCTCCAGCTCAGTTTCCCATTTGTACAGCACAGACATTGGCGTCTATGGACTGGAAAACTGAGGTGTACTTCGGTCATAATTGAAATGTGCCAAACACAGGAAGTTCTGCACCAATACATGAAGGAACTTTTTCACAGTAAAGGTGACAGAGCCCTGGAACAGGCTGTCCAGGGAGGTTGTGGATTCTCTTTCTTCAGGGGTATTCAAGACCTGTCTGGATACGTACTGTGCAGATTGCTGTAGGAAGCCTGCTTTGCAGAGGGGTAGGACTCTATGATCTCTGGAGGTCCCTTCCAACCCCTACAATTCTGTGATTTTGTGCCAAAACAGCTGAGAATCTGTACTGTGCCACTGAGGATGCAAAGGACTAGTCAGCTCCAATCCCTCTGCCCAGATCCAGACAGTAAGTTTTACGTTGGTTTTAGATGGTGGTGGGAAGAAGGAGAGCCCAGGTACCTTGTGGAGGGTAAGATGGCAGGGAAGCTCATGTTAGTTCGCTCTGTGGCTTCAGGTACTCATGGAGGGAAAACACCTTGCCTCTCCCCCAGCAGTCCAATTAGTCAAGGAGGGAGCCATGCTACACTCCTACCTGAGGAGTATCTAGCCATCCAGCCCACAGCCTGGCTTACAAAAGAGCAGGAGAGAATATGGGACAGTGGTCAGGGCAGATCTTCAAAAGCAAGGGAGAGTACAGTGCCTAATGCAAGAGTCCACAAAGGGAGTCAGACATATGGATTAGAGGAGGGAGAAGCAGCCAGACAGTAAGGTTGGCCAAAAAAGCAGGCAGTAGAGGGATACTAGGTGACCAGGAAAGGAAAAAGGTGTAAACTGTGCTCAAAGAGGGGAAAGTCTGTCTGAAAGACAAATAGACATCTCTCTTTTTCCTACAACATCTAGGAAAAAGAATCAGAAAGTTATTGTTGTGATGAGAAGGGCAGATAGGTACATTTGCAAGTCATTGGTGAGTAAAGGCTGGTATTTACTCTGTTGAGCAACCAGCCATGTACTGAAGGGGACACAAGCCATAGTTGCTTAGTATCCATTAGTTTCTCACAGTTAAACATTCGCCTGCCTTTGTCTGAAGCAACTGTCTTCAAGAAGGTCTTGATGAAGTGCTCATTTCAACTTCTCTTCAACACACAACTCCTTCCATTAGTGTCAAAGACAGCTTTCCACACTGGGCAAAGACAAGGAACCTCCGTCTTTCTCCCTGCACACAAGGCAGTTGGCACTGCTGTCCAAGATCATCCCAGTCACTTGGATCCATACAGAGCTGGCTGTCTCAGCTCTGGCTGCAATTTGGGGCGCCAGGGGATCCTTAATTAAAGAAACAAAGCTTAGAGCAGGGCTTTGGATATCTCCCTTGGGATGGTGTTACTAATATAGTGGTTAGGACCTCCATGGAACACTTGGGAAATCTAAAAGAGAATGAATAGATTTTGTGGGAGAAGAAAAAAAAAGCAAGCTGGTAAAGGTACTAGAGAAAACCAGAGGGTACAACAGTGCAGGAAAATGGTAGCATCTAATATGTGCACAAATTATTCAAGCAATAAACAGTGGCTGCAAATGTTCCCTTTGTATTCAGTTCAAGAGCAAAGGGTCTGGCACAGTGCATTTTAGGCTAGGAAGGGAAGAATGACTGGTCCAGCCAGAAAAACAAGGAGATTGGCAGACTGGAATGTCTCTTTCCACAGCAGCATTCAGTCACGTTTCTCTTGAAAGAGAGCACAAAGGGAACCCTTACAACCACTCAAACGAAGCCAAGCAAGAAGCAGACAGCTTTCATCATCTGTTCCTCAGTCCCCCCAGCTCCACCCCACAATCCATTTTCCAGACTTTCCAGTCAGCCCTGAGATGTTGACTGGTACACTGGCTTCATCAGCTCTCTGGCATGATCTCCCTGCACTCCCTCCCGCCTTCAATGAGATAAGAGTTGGGAATGTCACACAATGGGTGTTACTATTCAGCTGTGGAAATCAAAGCAAACACCAGGATGTTTTCTGCAGGTACCAAGGAAGGCATGGGATGACCTATCAATGGGATGAAAAACCTATTTCATGGAGAAACTTCAACACTCAGAAGAGTTCCTTTCAGGGTTATTCTGGGAACAAAGGAGGCTTCATAAGGGAGGAAACAGAGAAGGGAACACTAGCAGGGAGTTGCACTAACCCAGGTAATTTGAATGCTTTTGATTATCAGAGATGATTCACTTCTGTTCACTCTGCACACGAAGTATTGTGAAAGATGCTACATTTATCTGCATTGACTCATTATTTCACAACATGGGCTTAAAGTATTGTTCCTACTAACGATGACTGGAAGGATTGGGCACCTAGAACTCTGAACTTAGTTGGGGTAGGACTACAGAGGGTTTTGGTAAATTCAAACTCATCTATCTACATTCTATTAGAAAGATGGTGTGGAAACAATGATGATGAAAACATACGTGTTCTGAGGCAGCTGTCTGCTAAGAAATCAAGAAGATATTTCTGTCTCTAGGAAGACTGCTTTGATTTTTATCACCACTTAGTTTTGCTTTGACAGAAACAGAGTCATGGGGACCATACTGTTATTGATTAGTGTGTGGAGTCACTAAAAAAAAAAAAACCCAACAAAAACAGCAAACCTTATGGACAATTCTCAGTCTCATCAAGCAAAGAACTCACCAACTTTGAGAGAGCAAGGTAAAACTTAAAGCCTGAATTACAGTCAACTTGTAAAAAAAAAAAAAGTCACAGGAACTAATGAAAGGCAACTGTCTCCTGTATGATAGTTATAGTTTTGCTTATCTGTTGGAATTAATGTACTCTGAAATCATGTTTCTTACTGCTCAACCAGCACTGGTATTTATCGTCACTACCGTCAGAAGTTCCCAGCGCACACACAGGAGACAGTTTCTAAAGCACTGACCTTCTTTCAAGTACTTGAATTAATAGCCAGGTTCAGTGGACATTCTGACTGTACTGGACACTGTCTGAAAGAGCTTCTTAGCTAAAATTGGTGATTCTTTGCTGCAGGAGTCACATTAAAAAAAAGGGGAAAAAAAGGTGACAATGAAGCAGGAGAAAGGGATTCAACTTTACTCAAGTGTTGTTCCTCAAAGACTTCTCAGCCCCTTCCTTCCTCCTAACTCAGCAAGGCACAATGTCTCCTCGCTCAGGGAGAACATTCCCTCTCCATGGTCCTATCAGAAGGTTAGAAGCCTACAATTATTAGGTAATAGCTGCATAAACGCAGCTTATGTAAGACTGTGCATACAGACATGCACCAGAAGCAGATCTTGTGAAATACAATAGAGTAACTGGTAGTAAAAGGGGACAGAAAGGAAATAAGTACAAAAAAAAGAGGACAACTTGACTAAGATCTCCAAGAGCTAGGAAGAAATGCTAGCACTGTCAAATCCTACTTCTCCAATACAATGTTCACAATGTGTTGTGAATAAATGATATGTCCCTACATTAAATGATAGTGGGGAGCAAAACATTGATTGTCTTATTAACTGAGTATCTGTGCAAGGTTGCTAAACAGGGGTAAAAGATATGTATCAGACTCTAATGAATGAAATACAAAAAGATACAAGCACAATCACATGTTTATTGCTGTAAAGAGCTGAACTCTGTAATTATCATCTGTAGGGAAGTGTCTCAAAGAGAAAACAAGAAAGGAAATTGCAATCTATTTATTTCCATATGAGCACCCTCTGTTATTTGTAGGAAGGTTTCCCAACAAAACATACCAAAGAAGCAGGAAAAAGGCATGTGTACTGTTTTCTCAACACCAGTAGCAGTCTGACAGATAGAGTTCCCCACCCCCAATTAAGGAGAGGGTGTAAAAGCATGCTTCCCTTCAAGACAGTGGGGCAGCAGAAAAGCCAGAAAGCGGTGCCAGGTACCTGGCTATAAGAGAATGGAGAAGGGAAACGATTTGGTGCCTGGTGAACTTTGTTATGAGTGGTTGGACTCTTATGTGCCTGGTGCTGTACATATATGTGTAAGGGCATACAGCACTCAGGCTCAAGGCAGGGAAAGAGAAGGCATGGACAAATTATCATTGATGTAAGAGGACACTGAGAATATTATCAATACCTACCTCACCACTGCTGCTAAAACAAGTTATTTGGGGATTGTTTAGTCTGCCTAGTATGACCACAAATTTAATGCTACTTATTGCTCATGTCTGCTACCCAGGGTTTTAGGGCATACTGGAAACTTGCGGTCTAAATGATGGCTGTTCACGTTAAGGCTTTTCTATCATCACACAGTCCTTAATAAAGGAAAGGCTTGACAGTACCAACTTACCAGTCGCTCAACTCTCTCGCTCAGGTCTCTAAACCTTCCTGAGGTCTGTCTGGACAATTCATTACTGTACTGGATGTTGGTGATTTTTATGTTGCCACTGTAATAGAAGAGCTTCTGATCTGTAGGGAGAAGAGGAACAGGCAATACTCACAGTGCACCAAGAGCCATGAACTTAGAAGAAAGTCTGGGGGTGACTAAGTAGATGTCTGGAGAGTGGATAATCCTTCACTTGTACTCAACCCATTCAAATAAAACTTCTAAAAGCTAGGAACCCAGGAACAAGAACTCAGTTCTGCTGGGCAATCTATGCCAAGCAGTGACAAAAAATGAAAAACCAGTTTCTCCAGCAGTTACTTTTGTGGACATCGAGCAGCATGTTGGGCTCAATGCGCACAAGATCACAAGTAGCTTCCTGCTGGTCAGCTATGCTCCTTCCTGGCCAGCACGTGCACACAACACTGAACACTGGGATGCAGTTACTGGAGATCAGAGCAAGAGAATGGGGAAACAGCACAGATAGAATTGAGTGGAAGGTTCAGCTGTCACTTGCTTAACAAAGGCAAGAAGACTCATGTGTTGACCTCATCCAGAAGTAGATCAAGAGGAAGATGTAAAAGGAGTGAAAGCAAGTGAAAGGCAACAGAAACCACAGCCCTAAGCACACTGCATAGCAGGAAATGCTCCTGAGAAGAGATCTGCAAAGATGCTAAATGAGGATGGAAAGAGCTCCAGACAATCCAGTGGATTGATGAAAAACAAAATCTCAGCATTATGTGCCCAAGCACAAAGGAGATGCACTAAAGACAGGAATAGAACAGTGGTAAGTTCTGTAAATCTTACCATATGCCAGAAAATAAACTAGGAGACCAATGGTGATGGCTGCTGCCAATGCTGTTCCAATAACAATTAGAGCAATTTTCCACGGTTCGAGATGTCTTATTTTGATGGATGGTTGATGTATTCTGGAAAAAAAAGAAAAAAGAAAAAAAGAAAAAGAAGAAAAAAAAAGAAGATTTCCAGGAGGTATTTTTTAATTAAAAAAAAAAAAAAAAAAGATGCTAAAGTTTTCTCCCTTAACATCAGTTGATTCTTCCCAGCAGTACTGAGTTCTTATCCAACATCTTTAAAAACGAAACCATGACTTAAGACTATTTTGAAGTAGATGCTGAGATTTGCCAGTCACAGAATCCTGGCGTAGACTTTGATTTTTACTTTTCTTTTTCTTCTTCTTTTTTTAAGGGCTCATTTACATATGAGTCCCAGTAAGAATTTTTTAATGTGATTTCTGACTGAAAATTACTAAGAATAAACTGCTATGTTCATTTTTCAGCTAAGTGAATGCTTGCGGAGCAATGTAAGCAGCTTTCAATAAGTTAAACAAGCTGGTTATTACAACACCTTTGCTCCCAGAAGTTCTTCGTGCAACAAACTCATTAAAAAGCATCCCATTATTTGTACAGTATGTATATATGCATTATCCAAAGTGTTCAGTCTTTTTTTTTCCTGCAAAGTAGGACTGGACAACAGTAACAACAGAAAAAATACAAATAGATTTTGGAGAAATTGCTTGTCCTTCCTTTTTACCCAGGCTAAATCTATAAGCAAAGACTAGCACGGTTCTAAGTACATTCACCCGAATGGATGAAATGACAGGGAAGGGCAGAGATAGTGAGTGGACAACAGAACGCATGTAAAAAGCCTTGCCAGGTACTTTTCTCTGCTGTGCTCTTAATTACAAAGGTGTTAATCCAAATTAACACATAGCAAGTCAATAGTCAGTAGGTCAGTATGAGATTTAGACTCTCTTAAACTAACTGCCCCCAAAAGGTTATCAGAGCAAATTTTGCCTACAGCCATGAACCCAGAGACATCTTAAGCCATATTTTCAATGATGTTATCAGCCATTACAAAATACAGAACAGGAAGGAAGGGTTTTTGGCTAAGAGTCATTGCTACCAGAACCAGCCACCTCAGGTGCTAATGTTCATACCTTCAGCTCAGAGTACATCTGGGAAACAAGGCTGTGGGGACTCAATCATGAGGGTATTTCAGAAGTTCTCACATTCATAATCAAGTAAATACAGCTTGCCTCTGGAACATCCATGAACCTTAAGTTTAAATGCACTAAAATTGAAAATCATTGCGAGGATCTGCTGCAGCGGCATCCTGACGAAGTCAGCAGGCATGTTGTGCACTGTACATCAGAAGTAGGTTCTGGCACTTCATTGTCATTTCTTTTTAAAGCCCTGACTACTTTAATGTTGCTTGGAAAACATCTGATTCAGACTAAACGTGATATTTGCTTGAGTGAAAAATGGAAGCTCTCATTTGTCATTCATATCACTTCTGACCTTCCCTGGCTTTCCTGTCTAGCATTCCCTTCACTCCTCCTAACCTCTAGGACAGCTTATTAATTAAACTCTCATTTTGACTGGTTTCCTTTAAAGTGCATTTGTGAATACACAGCAGGAAAAAAAAGACCAAAAGTAAACAGTTCTATTAAGAATTTGGTGATAAGCAGCTCCAATTTTATTTCTGAGCCTACCAAAAAGAAACTGCTTTTACACCAACCGCAGAAATGAGAAACATGTACATATAAATGGTCAGGACTTCAGCTCATTAACAAGAATATTCAAGAAATATTTCAATATACTAACTTTGTGATAATCATTGAGGCTTTGGCTGCTCAGTCTCCTTTCACATTTTTTCCTCATGTCTCATGTTACCTTTTTTATTAAGCCACACACTCCTGGACAGATCAACTCACAAGTGCTCAGACTCAGATACAAGAAATTATAGGAAACTGCCCCTAACTTCTTTATAAACTGGTTTTCCTTTCTAGCAGACAATGATCTTGGTTATTAGAAAGCAAATAGGAAATGAGATCATTTAAATAGTTTGAAAAGAGAGTTTGTAAGCATTTTGGTCAGAAAATTGATTTTAAAAAATTTAAGACCCATATCTTCCCATCTCTAATACTATTGTTTTTACTACCTGTGTTTATTTAAAATTTAATGCCAAAGTTACTTAACCAAGCTTCTAATGCTTGCTCACCACTATGGTGCTTGGAGTCTGATTTCCATAGGGCATATTCATCGGCCAAGGCAACCTTTATGAATAGGTCACATTAATTCAGTATCTAATAGGACTTATTATCAGCTTATTATATGAGAAGTCTCAAAGCTCTAGTAGAGTTAGCAGTAGCTCTTAGGTTGAATCACTAAGTCAGTGGTGAGTTCAGTTTTAATTTATCGTGTTTTATTTTTCCCCTGTTGCTCCAACAAGGAATCCAAAGTAACATATTTCTTCCTATGCATTTACGACAACGTGCTTTGCAAATGTTTCTGCCATGTCTGAAGTGAGACTAGGTTGAAAAAAACCCAACGACAAACCTACCCGCAACCCCACAACTAACTTGACACAACCAGCTCAGACTCATTATCTTATCTTAGACAGTTTCATTTTGAAAAGAAATTCTCCTCCTTAAGCTGAACAGAAGGAAAAGCACTCAGAAGGTCTTTCAGCTATAATCATACTGGCATAGCCTCAAGCCAAAATGCTGGGTTTGAGAAACCCATTTAAAAGGCTGAATGCCAGCTTCACACCGCAGATGAGCGTAAAGAGTAACTGCCTGTTGTATCAAAGAAAGAATGGTATCAGACCAGAAGTAACTTGGCTGGGATGCAGTTATATAGACAACACCATGTAATGTATTATAAACTTTCAGAATTCTTTTGCAAATAGTATATGATTTTTTAAAACCCTTATTCTTAATTTATTCCTTTCAAAGTTCCAAGTTCCATTTAGCAAACAGAAATCCTCATCTGGAGCAGTTACTCACATATGTAATCTTCCTCATCCACACGACTTCACTTAATTCATGAAACCTCTAAGCTGAATTTCCTCAGATAAGCAGATGTTTGATAAACACATCTTAATATAACCACTTAATATAGGTTAGGCAGTTTTGGGAGAACTTGTTACCTATGAGAGATGTTTTCTTGTGGGTTATCGAATGTCCTTTGTTTTTTATGCTATAAAAGATGACAGTTTAAGCCGATCCCTATGGTTTTAAAATGGGCAGTATTTCATTCTTATTTAAGGTGCTATGAGAAAAACTGATAAAAAGCATTTCATCAGCACTAGCAATAATGGTGCTACATGAATGCACACATAATAGGACAGTGACAGCATCTTTATCTGTTTACTGGGTGTACGGAATACCACAGTAGAAGAGTTGTACATACATCAGCTCCTGAAGAGTTCCGCAAGTCTGATATAACAGACCAGCCTTTCTCCTTTGTTACAGTTTGTGTGCATGTGACAGCTTATATCCACTGAGAGTTTGGCCCAAAGCATTCAGATTTTCCTATGGTTTGCTGAATAATTCCGTGCTGAATAATAAATTTGTCCACTTTATAGTTCATCAACAATTGACGGGCTGAGTAGTTAAACAGTAAAATGTAATGATCTAACAAAATTTTTTCACTGAACAGTGAACATATGGATAAGTTTCTTTGCAGGACAAATGCTGCTGAAATCAGAGGTTTCATAGCCACGGGGTGCAAATGAGTGAAGGGCAGTCCTCCAATGACAGAGGAATTCAGCAACTCCTACATTCATTTCTGTATGAAATCTCTTCCTGTTATCATCAAATCTGCCCACAGACCACATGAAGTTGTCAGACTGTGGTATCAGAAAGATGTCAAACTAAATCATCCCAAGCTTTGTGATAACAAGACTTCATTCAGAACAAAGACCTCTGTAATCAGAAATACAGAAATGGACAGAGTATGTGATGGAAATAGAATGCCTTAATTTAAAGGTTTCAGCTGACCCAAAATGCACTATCATGAGCTATGAAAAAGTTAGTAGTGATGCACTTTTGCAACACTCTCTAGTACGAACAGCAGAGACCAGAAATGCAATTGATACTATACTGAGTCTTGCTCAGTTAATGAAGATGATGAGATTTTAAGACTCGGGAATAACTTCTTTGTCATTCTGTTTTGCTATTTGAAAAGCTCAGAAAATGAGTGTGTGGGAAGGAAAAACAAACTAATAATTCTACTGGTATCAAATCAGGTGTGGTGCGTATCAGAATTTCACTATGATTTTCTGGAATCAGAAACTAGACTGGGGCAGACAAATAAAGAAGTTTCTGTTTGACACCATGCAGAAATATCTGCCTCCTGCAGTAATCAAGCTTAACTCCCATTAACGCCAATGCACCATGACTGTCCTTGCACCAGGGCTGGTATTCATTTCCTGCTACACCTCAGCAGTCTGTAATTTATACTTACTTTGCCCACCTACTAAATGACAAATTGGTGCAAGTGGCACTGCATTTCCACCTACATATTCACTTTTAGACTAACATATACAACAGTAGCTACTGTGCACCTCATCTTGTCTGTCCACAAGATCTTCACAAGGAAGTTGAGGTAGGTCACTGCTCCATAGACCACAGGGCACAGCAAAGCAGAGGAGGGACAAGACCAACAAGGCTGTCCACTCCATCCTGTTTCCTTAGTAGCTTTGCTTCCTGAAGGATCTTATAGAGCACACGTTCCAGCTTAGCTCAAACTGCTGTAAAAAGAGGCATCCTGGAACTGGCTAAAGTTAGTCTCTTGTTAGAGACTAGGGTACAGCGTGATGCACTCAAAGAGCAAGTTTCACAGTTGCACACACAGATCTATATCCCTGGCCAACAAAGATCTGGACATTTAACAGGCTACACTAGGTCTCTGATTAAGACCAGGCAGTCTTATTCCTTCTCCAAATATGTAAATATATAGTTATCCACCACAGATTTCCCCCATATACTTAAGATTTTACAATAATCTAAAGAACTATTTAAACAACTAAATCCTTTTCTTACTAAGAGGCAACCAAAATGGACTTAAATCTTCTTTAACAACTCTCCAACAAACTGTTATTAAAATTATTTTCACCACTGTTGATACAAAAAAAGATATAGCAACTAGACTTCCATCTAACTAGAAAAAGGAACAACTTTTCATTTCTGCTAGGTAGAGTATTCTCACTTATTTTTCCCTCTTTAGGTAACATGCACAAACAGGTATTCACAACTGATGGGGATTGCTTTCCTCACTGTCAGGCAGCACAGCTTTAAAGGCATGGATGCTGAGCCAGATGCAAGGTCTTTGGGTCAGGGTCCCACTAAGGATCAGAGTCAAAAGCTGAACTCAGCCTCCTCCTAGTAAAGTCAACACTATAACAAAACATTGTTCTTCATAGGAAAAAAACCCAAACAAAAAAAACCCAACAAAACAAATGGACAAAAAGAATAACTTTTGTCAGTCCAGAAATAATGTTGCTATTTCAATAAATCCAGAAATTATGTCTTGTTTTGTGTTTGTTTTTTTAATACTGAGGTTGGAAAAATAAAAGTACCTTGCAATCGTCCACAGCCTTTCGCTCAACATAAAGGCAGTGAGAATATTGTGGCCATAAGCAATCATACAGAAAAATTCAGCCATCCAGCCAAATCATGAGGGTGCTGGAAAAAAAAAACCAACACTTTTTTTGGGAGGACTGGCTAATTCAAGGGAAGCTGAGTATCTCCTATTGTTGCTTAAATCCAGGAGCCAGAGCATTAAGCAGAAAGAACACATGCCAGGTGGCCTACTGAACATATATGATTGGATGCGATCTGATTGAAAACAGTATTACAGCTGGAATTTCTTTTTTTTTTTTTTTTAAAAGTACACAGAACTTTCCAGAAATGTCTTTGAGTTACAGTAAAACAAGACTAAGAACATCCAACATCTCTGTTTAAAATCCTTTAAAATACAAAACACCTGGTCACTATACCCCAGAAATCATGGCTTTTTCCTTAAAAACTCTAAGGACAACCTGGAAGAATGAAAACCCACAAGGTATTCTCTCCTTACGTAGCTATGCTGCCTTTGCTGATTTAACGTGGACTCTTTATACGGTCGGGAGAATAATACTGCAACTAGACCTGATCAAAAGGTATGGTTATCCCAAATCATATTATTAAAATTTGCTTTTGACACAAAAGAGCTTACTGAATTCTTCATCATTTCAATAATATCCCGATGGGGGCAGGAGAAGACAATTATAGGGAGGGAAAGATAAGCTTCAACCTAAGCTGTCACATCACCCTTCTAAACAGAAAGCAAATCTTTGTGCTCCTGGCCATGCTAAGAAAGGATTCCCCTCTGCATTTCTCACCCCAACCATACATTATTCTTTTCATGCATAATAGTCTCCAAAGTCTTCCCTTCAGTCTGCAACTTATTGTTTAGCCTTCCTCTATCACACCCTTTCAAGTTGTACATGTTGGATAGATCCATGATGCCCTCTACCTCTAAAAGGATGAAGGTGGGCAGAGATCCAAGGAGGTTTAAAAGCAGACAAGAAAAAGCAAACAACGTCTTTTTTAGATCTGTTTACGTCCTTCACTTCTTAAGTTCTCTCATAAGCAACATCCCTCTACCTCCACTGCACCTCTAAATCAAACCTACTGAGTTAAAACACACCACCTACTTTTGAAGATCCCATGGTAGATCCCGGTAGGTCTGGTAGCCCTTCTGTCCTCCAACCAGGGCTTGACTAAAGTCTGGACTGCGTAGTGAATGCTGCTGGAAAATGCAGGAGTCGCATTGACTGGTGTGACGAGAAGGGAAAGGCGTTGAATGAAGATCCTTCATTGAGGCACAGCTGGCGCAACACCCAGCACCCTGTGGGTTATTGCAAAATAAGAGAGCAAACTTTGGAATAAAAACAAACAGAGGTAAGCATGGAGTCGATAAGGAGACTCTAACCTTCTGATCAGCTCAGCATCAAAGAATTCCCCAGGCAGAGATGGACAGAGCAGATAAACCGGCCCAGGCAAGAAGACTTGTTCTTCACCACAGCAGAACAGGAAGTGTGTTAAATTTCCCTTTCCTATCACTCCCTTTCTGTCCAACTTGTGTCCTTACAGCAGGCCTTCTGGCTGGCAGCACCTTCTACCATACACTCACTGTAAAAGCCATAAGGGAGAGCCACCGCACTGTCTACACTGCTAAATTACTTGCCTCTTGAGATTGCCAACACAAAAGCTGAACAGAAAAACAAATACAGACATAAATGGCTTGGTCAACCAAGCCTAACCTCCCTTGATGCTCACTCCTTCACAGTCGTCCTGGTCTCCCCTGGCACCAGGGACATGACAACTATAAGTATCCAGCCTCCTAATTATACATTAGTCATTTAATGGTTGGCATAACCCCGCCTGTGGAAAATGCTTACTCTGTGAAAAGGGCCACCAATCTCCCTGGAATTCCCTTCTTCCAGCACAAACATGGCTCTTCAGAGCCAGCTGGAAGGGAGAAAAGTAGATGTTCCCTGGTGAGGGATTCTGCCCTCACATCTGAATAAATACCCAGACTAAAGAGGAAAATGATCAAAGACCAAACTCCTTGATTCCAGCCTCTGATGCACTTGGGTTTTTGCTATAAAGTTTGAAGTGTTTGGCTTTCCAATAACCTATCGTGATTTTAGTCATTTTGGTGGGAACACTTAACTTACAAAAACCTGAGTAACATTGGGGTAAAAAACGGTAGGAGTAAATTTCCACCTAGCTTTATCTAGTCCCCTCTTTCCCCAAAAACATCCACTCACAGGCACTTCAACGCAATTTGAAGAACATGTTCTTCAGACAGTCTACCTCTAGGATAATGGTAAAAGCTGTACACTGCTGCTGCACAGTATCTCCTGTTTTTCTGACTCTTTCCATTGCTTGGATCAAAATTGCTTTTTTTTTTTTTTTTTTTTGACTTCTTGGCTCCCTGTAGAAAAAATACCGCTGCAGTTACCCACCTTACATAAAGCTTTAGTGATCAAATACACAGTTAGCTGTCTCAAATACTAATATTCTCCTGTTGACCTTCCCTTTTACTTCCCTCCCAATACCATAATTTTCTTCAAGAGCAATAAAATCCAAAGAAAACTTACGAAGAAAAGTAAGTTAAAGTAAACTAAGTTTAAGTTGGTTAAAGGAACTTCTTGCTCCACCCAGAACACACATGCACATCCACAGGAACTCCAGCATTCCATCCTTACCAACCAATTGAATCCAGAGATTATTCAAAGTATGTTTAAATCCTTTTGCTTATGTTTTTTAACCTTACAATCACAAATTATTTCATTCTTACAAAAAACACATCCTTGTAAAATATAAAAGGCTTAATTAAGCTTGGGATATAAGCCAAAGAAGCACGTAGCTATAGAACGGTCAAGCTGAGGCTGTGCACAGAGGTCCGCACACAGAGATAAAAGAAGCACTGTTAGTGGGTTAGTAACATTAACTTCTTCATTAGTGTTGTGGTTTTACTCAGCAGGCAACCGAGCATCACACAGCCTTTTGCTTACTCCCCCCTTTCCCACTGGAATGGGGAGAAGAACCAGAAAAAAAAAGTAGAACTCAGAGTTTCAGACAAAAACTATTTATTAAGATGGAAAAGAAAGGGAGAAATAGTAGTAATTATACTTTTATGTGTGTGTATTTATTTACAAAAGAAGTAATGCACGATGCAATTGCACACTAGCTGATGCCCAGACAGTTCCCAAGCTGGCTGCTCCTCTGGCCAACTCCCCACGATATTATAGTTTTTTCACATGATGTCATATGGTGTGGAACATCCCTTTGGCCAGTCTGGGTCAGTTGTCCTGATTCTCTTCCCTTACCAGCTCTTTGCGCCCCCCCCCCCCCCCCCCCCAGACTCCTTGCTGGCAGGGCAGGACAAGAAGCTAAAACATCCTTGGCTCTGTGCAGCACAGCTTACAGCAACAACTAAAATATCGGTGCGTTATTCTCCTAAACCAAAACACAGCATCATACCAGATGCTATGAAGAAAATCACCTCTGTTTGAGCTGCAACCAGGATAATTAGTATTTCAAGACCACCAATAATGGGCCCTGTGTACCCTAGGCCAAGCACAGTCTTGAACTACTGACAGCGTACAATGCACAGAAATTTCCCTGATGTTCCCAGAAGACCAAAGGCCAACTCTACCCACCTGGATCAGGTAAAAAAAAAAATCCCAGCAGAATTTTATTTTAGCAAAGAGCTAGAGCTGAAAGCAAAAATTACTCGAGATCTTAAGTTTTGCAGTGAGATCTCCTGAAGAAAGAGTATTCATTAGAAGAACACCAAGCTGACAAGGGTTTCAAGAGGTAGAACTACAGCAAGGGACTTGGAAAACAAATACATGTACATCTATTAATTTCTAAAGCTCTCCTCAAAAGGACAGACTTTCCTGTTTTTACTCCAGAGCATAAACAGAGATATTCCAGAAACGTGACTTGGTTTTGTTAGGATCAATGAATAGTTTGTGATCTGCCTAATCATTAAAATAGATGGCTTTTTTTTTTTTTTTTGAACAGTGAAAAATCAAGACATACACTTGCCTATGTCAGAACATACATAAGCTGTTTACACATACTTGTCCCACGAGAACAACAGGACACAGGCCAAGAAAAGACAATCATTAAGGAACAAATTTCTTCATAATAAATTAGCAAATTACAAAGTGCTTGGTATTAGGGAGTTATTCAGCAAACACAGGCAGTAGCTTTTTGGTTGATACTAGGGAAGTAACAGAGAAACTAGCTAACAAAGTATAGGGTGGAAATGAGACAATGTGGGCGCACAGGATTTGGTGAATGAAAGTGCAAAAAGATGTAATAACAATACCTTCCATTTAACCCTGCAAAGTCAGCCCAGCCAGTCAGACAGTCTGCTTGCCTAAGAATGCTAATAATAAGCTGTCTTGGTTTATGTTTGCATGCTCACATAGGCTGCATGACTGTTGAGATGGAAAACGCCTTGACAGAAGGCCATTGGCCAGTCCCAAAGCAATAACATCTTTGGAATTCATAAGCAAAGATATTTTACATAATTATCTACCAGTTATTCAGCCGGGCCATGAATTTTAGATCACAGGCATTCAGGCATTATTTTCAAAGTGAGAAGTGAATATTCCTGCCAGCAATATTTAACAGAGCTGACAGAAACACTGTTAAAGCACATGGCGCTGATCAACTTGAAATAATTAGACCTGCTTCAAGCAGACAATTACCTTTGAATGTCTCTTCCAACCTAAATTACTACATTTTTTGCAAGTACCTGGTAAGAACAAATAGACCTGCTTCACTAAAATTCTTCCCTAGGAGACACCAACTCATTTTCCATCAGCTCATCTTAACAGCTCAGTTGTAGCTTCAGGTCCCTCTCCTCCTGAAAATATAAAGGAATCTTGCATTTGGCTTTCAAAATCTCTTTATACTTCTTAACTTCAGCTAGAGACACGCTATATTCCTTTCCCCTTCTAAAACATAAAAACAACTTATTGTCCCATCCTTTTGTTGGCACCTGAAATTCCCAGCCAAGGCTTTTAGTAACTGATAAACAGAAAAAACAAACATGTAATTTCCATTAGAGGGATGGAATGATTCTCTAGAGCAAGTGTCAGGGCTGGGAGATAAGCCAAGTACTTTATCTTGAGCCATGAAAAGTCACTTGAGGCCAAATTTTATTACGTGCCCATACAGCTTTGAGATACTAAGAGTGCAGAAGCTCTAAGAATGTTATAGCAATGGCCTCAAGCTCTCAGGTATGCTAGATCCTGCCCTGGTTGGTTTCCAAACAGTCCCTCTTTCCGTGCCATACAACAGAAACTGCTACACCCGTCTGCAATGCAGCCAGAAAGGCCAGCCCAGAATACCGGCAACGCCCTTAGACAACAGAAGTCCCCCACTTCCATTATCATTAAGAAAGAATTCATAGCCTGTCACCCCATTCAAGACAAAAAGGTAACACATATGTACCTGTCTTCTGCAGCTGCTCAGCCAGAACTGCTACTTGGTACAACGAAACAGGCCAGCCCACATTTTGTTCCCAGGGTTACCTAGCAATCGGGCTAAGAATCCACAATGTCTAGTCACTGCACAAATCCTCTGCTCATAGTCAAGATGCAGAGCATCTCCAAAGAAATGTGAGGCCTTTATATGGTAGGATCAGGGCTAAAAAAAAAAAATAAAATGAGGTACATTAAGATAAAAATAAATTCACTATCACCTTACAGGTACTGCACAAATTAAATGAACAGTATCATTTCACACAGCAGAAAGACTTTCTGGGACCACTGACACAGCCTGATAGCCCATACCTGTCAATATTGAAGAAGCATTTGGATGATGCCCTCAGTAATATGCTTTAACTTTTGGCTAACCCTGAAGTGGCCAAGCAGTTGGACTAGAAGATCTTGGAAGGTCCTTTCTAGCTGAACCATTCTATTTTATGTCTTCTCTGCAGGAGACAAAACACCCCAAACAAGACTTTCTTATGGCTCTATGTTTCCAGAAAATGGCTAGCTTAGATCTGAAGGCTCCAGGGAGACCTCATAATGGCTTTCCAGTACTTGACAGAAGTATATAAACAGGAGAGGGAATGACTGTTTACATGGGTGATAGTAATAGGACAAGAGGGGATGGGATTAAAATAAGACAGGGGAGGTTTAGGTTAGATATTAGGAGGATTTTTTTCCAAACAGTGTGGTGACACACTGGAACAAGTTGCTCAGAGAGGTTGTAGATGCCCCATCTCTGGAGGCATTCAAGGCCAGGCTGGAGGCGGCTCTGGGTAGCCTGGTCTAGTGGTTGGTG